AAACGGTTTCCTTGGCGATCCATAATGATGGTTCCAAATCCACACCTAATAATTATGGGCCTATTAGTCTGACTAGCATCTTTTACAAGATCATTAGGAATCAAATCGGTGAAAATCTGGTTGCTAATAATTTGAGTGGAGTAAGCGAGTATGGCTTCATCAAGAAAAGGTCATGCCTTACCAACCTGCTGTGCTTCCTCGATGAAATAACTCGATGTCTTGAAGAAGGTATACCAGAAGCAGTGGACTGCCCTGACTTCAGTAAAGCTTTTGTTTCGGTGAATCAGAGTTTCCTGTTAGAAATAATGACCTGGTCTGGAATTCCTCCTTAACTGCTTTCTTGGCTGTCTGCATTCCTTTATGATAGGACATTTCGTGTCCGGGTTGGGGATGCCACTTCCAACGTAGCACTGCTTATAGAGGAGTTCCCCAGGGATCAGTACTCGGTTCGTTGCTATTTCGCATGTTTATGAATGAATTGGCTCCTCTACTTGTAGACCCCTCTTAGGTATTCGCTGACGACTTGAAGCTTGTCAACAGGAGCGACAGGACTTCGCTATCTAGAGATTTTGCTACCGTTCTTAATTGGTCACACTTGTGCGACTTACCACTGAACATCAGCAAATGTCAAATCCTAACGTAGCATGATGAAGAGCTTACACTGCATGCATCTAATGGGTCCTTCACACTGCATTATATCACCGAGACACACAACCTAGGTGCTATCGTGACGAGTGACTTTAAGCCCTCGGCGCAGTGCAGGCATGCGGCTAATAAATCGCGACAACAGTTATTTCGTCTCTAGAGAATTCTGCGTTTTACGGAGCCAGAGGTCTTTCTCACCTTGTTCAAAGCTGTGATTCGACCACATTTGGAATACTGTGTTCAAGCCTTTTCACCCTACATGCAGAAAGATATTATTTGTATGGAGAATGTGTAAAGACTAGCCATTCAGATGATGGGAGGTCAGCTAGGGTTATCGTATGAAGATCGGTTAGCAAAGTTAGTTTTGTTTTCAATGAGAAGACGCAGATTGATAGGTGAGTTAATAGAGACCCTTAAAATCATGAAGTGTCTCAACGTTTCCCGGCCTACCGATCTGTTTGACCCGTCTAGGTCAGACTACTTGTAGGGCCATTGCATGAAATTGATCAGCAATAATATAGTCTAGAGTTAAGCGCCAGGTTCTTCGCAAACCGGGTTGTGTCTGTTAGGAATAAACTTTCTTCTGCTTTATTGACAAGCGAAACTGTGAATGAATTTAATGGTTACCTAAACAAACATTGGCTGGTCCTCTTTCTAAAAGTTCTTTGAGCTTCAGTGACCGCCCCTAAACTCATTACATCATGCTAATCTGTTGTTCGCCTAGCACTTGCTTCTGATTTTTTCTATTATAGAATTAAGAAGATTATGATAAGTCCCAGTGATGGGGGCACTTTGTTGATTACTCATACACAAAACGGGACAATCGTTAAGCGGGAGCTTGTTTACTTCCTTAAACATCATCAGTATATACATGTTAGCTAGCGGTGAAATACACTGCAATACAAAAAAAACAGGAAAAATACATGCAAGTTGCATGCCAGCTGCGCTACCAATAACGAAATGGCATTGTACCGGAAAGCTACCCACCGGCTAAAAGGTAACAAACTAATATTATATAAAATTATCTTGTGCTAAAAATGAGATCGTAGTTGGAGGGGAAGGCTAAGAGGGATGGTAAGGGAAAAGAAACTGAGAGCAAGGACGCCATTGAGGTCGCCTCCTAGCCCTGTCAACAAGTGTATACAGCCAAACGTGTTCATCGTCTTTCTGACCCCAACCAAGAAGCCAAGACTTTGCAGCCGACGCCAGCTTCAAAGTGAGGGCCTTCATTCCTCTCGACCAAGTCATCGCTTGGCCACCTCACCTCTTTTTCCATGCACACTAGCGGCGCGCAAATTACGCACGCCGCGGGAGTCGCTGGACTGGTATGCGCAACACGTGGCCCAGTCATCAGAGCCTGATGCACGAAATAACTGTGCTGAGCGATTCATTCCCTTCTCCTGTGCAGTAGACAAGGCGTCGAACACGCTCGTCGCTCATGCGGTGTTCCCACCATATATGATTCGAACTACGAAGGTACCGATGGTCGAACGTAACCGGCCTCTTTATCTCGGCTGATCTAACGGGCCAGGTTTCACAACCATGCAGTAGAGCCGAACATACCGCTGCATTGTGCACTCTACCTTTCAGGGCGAGAGTGATGTCGCGCCGGCGTCATAAGTGGCGAAGTTTAGTAAAAGCACCTCAAGCTTTTGTTATACGGTTCGTAATCTCATCTTCGATCCAATTGGCAGTGATGCAAGTTCCCAGGTAGTTAAATTTCTGAACGACATCTTGCTGATCCCCACCAAGGGTCAGCGCAGGAGGCGGTCCATGCCAATCTTAGAGGAAAGCTTTGCACTTCGAGCGTGCAACGCAAAGCCCGAAATGACCGACAGCCAGTGTTAATCTGTCCAGTGCTGCTTAGCACGTCTAGGAGCTGTCACATAGGAGGGCAATATCGTCTTCATACCCCAAGTCAAGAAGTTCGCCTGGAAGCAGCGCCCCGCCTTCGAAGTCGTGTCCTGTGAAAGCAATCTCCATGAATTTGTAAATAGCGAAGTTACACACGGGTCGCGGCTGCGTCGATCATATCTTTACGATCCGCCAGATACTTGAATATCGCCATACGTTCAGTCGACCAACTATAGTTATATTCTTGGATATTCGAGCCGCTTTTGACTCTTGACAGAGTGGCTGTTTGGGACTGCTTACTGAAGACCGGAGTACCAGAGAAGTACATCAGCATTCTCCGTGCGATTTACCATCAAACTTCGGACCGCGTGCGAGCATTCGGAACAATTTTGTCCCCTTTCAGTGCCACTAGCAGTGTTAGACAGGGTTGCCGAGCCTGTCGATTCTTGTTCAACTTCGCCATCGATGAGATACTGGATACTGCCGTGGATAACTCTGAGTTCTGCGGTGTTTAACTGCTCCTTCGGGAGTAAGCCGACGACATCGCCGGGATTTGCGAGTCCTCCCTAGCTGCCCAGCATGTGCTGCTCAGACTGGAGATGTCCGCTGCTCAATTTCGGTTGAGCATTTCTTCTTCCAAATGTAAGGTCCCATTACAGTACTGGTCAAGCGCATGTCCTTCTCTCACGCTTTCGGGGCATCCGTTGGAAGTGGTCGACAAATTCATTAATCTTGGGAGTCGTCTTAGTATTGGCGATTTGACAGCTTAGATCACCCTGCGTGTCTCCAAGGCTTGAGTGACTTTCGCTAACCTTCATCACCTGTGGCTTCATCGTGATCTCAAGCTCGCTCTCAAAGGACGCGTCTATAATGCTACGGTACGAGCGATTCTGCTGTACGGATGTGAGACTTGGCCCGTTCACAAAAACGATGTTCAGCGGCCATCTGTCTTCGATCACCGCTGCCTGCGAAGCATTGCTGGCGTGCGATGATACTACCACATCAGTAATGAGGAAATCTGTCGGCGAGTCTTCAGATCTAACGAACTCCGCCGATCGACTGTTAGCACCATCTCATTGCGGAGGCTTCTCTGGCTTGGCCATGTGCTTCGCATGCCTACCCAGCGGTTACCACGACGAGCCATATTTGTGAGCACAGGAGTGGCCTGGAAGCGACGAAAAGAAGGGAAATATAAACTTGCATCCAATGCGTTAAGACGCAAATGTTGTAGCTGGCTGTCGTCGGGCGTTCCCGACTCCCGGATTTGGGGCCCGGTGGGCCGCCACTATGTGTGACAGTGCTCCAACAACTGACGCAAAGTGAAGATGTGGTCAATGCAGCCATGACCTCGACGAAACCCGGCTCGCTCCTCACGAACTTTGCTTTCACGAGCGTCAGCCAATCTGAGGATTACATAGGCAAGTACTTTGGAGGCGATGGGGATCAGATTGATACCTCTCTGGTTGCTGCATTCCAAATACGAGCCTCCCTTGAATATCGGGACAATAACGACGAGGCTTCAGTCAGTTGGGACAATTTCCTGCTCCCACAGTTTCACTAGTAATCCGTGTAAGTCATCAACAAAAGTAGAGCCTCTGAATTTTAAGATGGCTGGGTTAAGATCATCTGCTCGCGCGGCTTTATTCCATTTCGACAGTTCGCTCTCACGTTCGCCATCTTGGAGAGGGTAGATCCAAATTGACAGCCCAGAGAGCAGGGTGATCAGTGGTCGGTGAGGAATCTCACAAGTCCGGCCGATTAAATAGCTTTTCAAAATGCTCAGCCAACCCTCCAAACTTTCTGACAAGTTGTGGTTAGGCTGTTTCATCCCTGAATCCTGTCCTGTACTGTCTGAGGATAAGGGAAACAGTATATGCAAGGGACTGATCATGTCATGTTGGCTAAACCGCTTGATGGCTGGTGTGAGAGGGCACGTATCAAAGATACCTTATATCTTGCATTAAATTTGCAACCGACTGGGAAATCATAAGTTCCAAAGTTTTATAATACAAATCGCTTTTTCTAAAGGCTTGTATTATGACAACGTTTCACTCTTGACCTGAAGAAACTCTTGTGTCAAGGGCGATAGGTTGTCACAATACAAGCCTATAGAAAAACCGATTTGCATCCTAAAACTTTGGAAATTATAGCTACTTTATATTTCTTCGTCATGTGTCGACTAGATCCTCTTCGGCATCGCCTCACTGAGCACAGTGTCGGAAAGTAATGCAACAAAAGGGGCGGTAGGCGAGCATACCACGGATATAATCCAAATAACGCGCAGGACGGAGGACACACTGGAGGATCATTCCCAGCAGGAGACTCGTTAAGTGGAGGTGAGTGGACCGCTTTGATAAGTATCGATTCATGTCGCTGCACGGCGCTTGCTACCTACGCCCACGTGACCATTATTGATTTTTTGAAATGCCATAGGTATAGGCTGTAAGTTAGCAAGTAGAGGTGCATAAAGTGTTGGCTCTATCCCAATCCAGCCAATCAAGATGTCTATGAATCTTCGCCAACTTGACCAGTTAAGGCGTCGGCAGCTTCGAATACTTGGAACCAACACAGGGCTCAGGAACAGCCTGACATACGCCTCACAGGGTAGGCAACTGAACAGATTGAAAATTTTGTCCATTTCCTTGTGCAGCTCGAACCGGCGTGGCTCTTTGTTTCGGACAAACTTGGGAGCTGATTCGCCGCATCCTACTGGTGCACTTCATTCGCGGTCCCACTTGTATTTTTGTAAGTCGTCTCACCATGACATTGTGTCTCACTGCCATACCCACCTTGGTCCCTAGCTAATAGGTTTATGAAATTTCCACTAGTATCTGTAAGTTTGCGGAGAACAAACAGCGACCGTAACAGCCTATAAAGGAACGGTCAACTAATTAATGACTAGCGTTCGTCAGATACTAAGTTTCATGGAGCTAAGGTAGTAATCAGTACCTATTTCAAATATAATTGGTTAGATATAGCGTGGGACGTTCCCGCGCGTGGACCATATGTAATCCATCAAACACTATGAAGTGTATACGTTTCTCGTTATAAATATATATATATATACATATATATGTATAAACACTACGCTACTTTACGCTATTGCACGCCACCCAACTACGCATTGATGATGCCACCTCGATTGGTGACGAAACGTTTGCAACAAAATTGCTAAGCTCAGCGAACAGTTCAACAGCCATCTGAACAACCTGAGCTACCAGTCTTCAATTATATATATATATATATATATATATATATATATATATAGCGCGCGACATCATGAAGTATTTTGGGCTGGCGACTGTCCTCTGGTCCTCTAGCCTTGAAAGTCAACTAGTGGCAACAACGATTTGATGCAATGGCACTAATCGGAAGCCCGAATACTAAGAGATCTGCTGCAGCCTTATCCGTCACAAACGAATGCGGCGCAGTGGTGTAAACGCTGGAGTGACATGCGTAGGGTATGGCAGAGCGTTCACAATAGACTTAGAAGTTGCACTATTTGAAGGTGCTCGCATTCCCAAGGTTGTACCATAGTAAACTTCATCGTTGTAAACTCGGTGTTGTCGCAATATACTGGCCACTCTCCTCTAACAACCACTGCTAAGGTTTGAAAGTTGGCTCATTTTATTTAGACCAACTGAACATGGCTCGCTCCTATGCAGCAACCCCATAAGAATAGAGGCATGGTAAACTCGATTTTTTCACGAGAGGTACACCCTGACGGCGCCACTTATATCTGGGACTTACAAACGCCATGAGAACCGGTGGCGGCCAAGTATGATTGTGGTTACTGTTAATGAATATATACTGAACGGGCACGCGTGGTGAAATCGGGGAAACCATGCATCACTACGGAAGCAGGAGGCACAGCACACACGACTGATATGCCGTGAATGAACACACACAGTAGACCACAGATGCAAAACATCACCGTGGATGAAGCGTGCTAATGATCACGACTGTAATATGTTTGATAGTCAATGCCATATAGAATCCCGTCATCGTAATAGAAAACGTACCTGTGCCGCTATAGGTTCTCATTTTTATGTCCAATTTGGTGCCACGCCTCTTACTTGGAAAAAGCAAATCATGCGTAAATATTAACATCGACCAACTGTATTGACAGGCCAAATTTATTGTCGCGTAACAGGGTTGCTCAATGTTCATGTCCCTTTAATGAAAACTTGACGCATGCCAATTAGCCTTCTTTCCGTCCGAAGAAATTAACAACTTGTGCCAAACATACTTGCTGTACAGGCAATGCTGCTGTCCTTTTTGATGATCGCTGGTTCAGCGTTCTGGCCAACCGTTGGGCTTTTGGTCATTTCGGACAGCGAATCTTCTCTGATGGGGCGCACGGTAAGTTCCTATGGGTTTTTATAAAACTGTGGTGTACCGAGTGTATTAGATGCTAGTGAATGCAGTGTAGACCTCTTTTAATTCTCTCCTAAGTTGGAACAGCTTGCTTTCCTGTTGATGGGTCTAATGCGGTTTATGTTTGGGGATCGGTTTTAAATCAATTTGCATATCATAGATACATCGGCGACAGTTTGACTACTGAACGGCACTCAAAATGAGGCATCGGAGAAGCAATGTTGTTGTGTGTAGTTATCGTGAGACCAGACTCCAAATGAGGTATGGGAGCTAAAGTGACACCTTAGCTTTTCCCCTGCTCCTTTTGTAGCATAAACAACTGTTCGGTATCTCAACCAACAGCTTATTGAAACTGCTCTCTCATGGCTGGCTTACTCTGAGCATTTAGATCTACAGGTTGCACGTACTAGAATAATTTGACATCATGCAGTCAGCAGTCACATAGCGGAAGTACAGAACCACTGGGAACGGATTTCCATCACGGTTTTGTGCGGTATGCAGCATAAGTCAGGAAAATTATCCACTCCATCCTTCGAACTACATTCTCGAGCGATTCCGGGAAGTATATGAGGTTTTGGCTTAAAATCGAGCGTCACTATATTGGGCGTTTAATCGTTACATACTGGAGCACACTAAGCCCAACGTGACCACAAATTACCACAAATGCTAGTGTAAGCTTCAGCCGTTGCGCTTGCGTAACAAGTGCAGTATTCATGGTCAAACATTACCTCTTTTTGCATATTAATTGATCAATCTGGGCACTGGTCAAAATCTCACCCTTACGAGGGTCCCCTCTATTCAAGACCATCCTCGAACTTATTTTCCATAGGGGATTGCAATATAATCTTATTTTGAAGGTAAGGGAAGACGAAGAGATGGATAATGCGTGGGCTCCGCAAGGGAAAGTGTACATAGCACTTCTACTGTAATTAAAGTTTACATGCATAAAAAGCAAATACACCCTCCTTGTCTGGCAGCTGCCACTGGCCCGTAGCCTTAGGGATCACAAGCCTATCTTGCAATCTGAGAGCTGGAGTTCCAGCATGCGTAGGGACCGGGCAACCCTCGCAGTTTCCTTAGCCCACGTACGACTGGTGGTGGTTGCGCGGCAGCGAAGCGTCGGTACTGCGTACAGGTGTACTGCTGAAGCTTTTTACCATATACACCCCACAACCAGCAGTGTCAGAACGAGAAACCAATGGGTCGACAAACAGCGAGTTGGAGGCAACTGAACAATATGATCATAACCGCTCACTAGGTGCTTCTACAATCGGACTACTAGATGGAAAAAGTTGTGTGAATCTGTTCACACCGCAACCGGTAATGAGACCAAACTGAATGCGCCAAATGTCAACTATAGCCGAGGTTGCTGAAATAACGTACCAATACCTGGCAACTGGTGACAAGGGCGCTGAACCTTAGAGTGTGGAAATATACGACTAAATGGTTACAAACGGAAATCACCCAAGCCAACAAGGACCAACAATGTCTAGTGGAAAAGTTTCGCTCCAGTCCCAAACTGCTATACAGACACGTAAACAATTTGCGCCGTGTTAAACGCGGTATTCCTGCTCTGCACACAGCATGCGGGTTCGCCCAAACAGCACAAGAGGCAGCCAACGTCCTTGGACAACAATTTGGCCGTACGTTCCAAAGTGCACAATCATCATACATCCTGCCCAAGCAGATAACGCCGTCATCAGGGCTTAATCACATATCGTTCACCTCCGCAGCTGTACTGAAGAGGCTGATGCCTCTGCGCGAGTTCAGCTCCCCGGGTGCGGACGGCATTCGACCGAAGGCGTTGAAAGTTGCTGCCATGAGTTTGGCAGGACCATTAGCAATTTTCTTTCAACGATGTATGAACGAGATGCACGTCCCCACGATGTGGAAGCACGGAATCACCACGCCTATCTACAAAAGTGGTAGCCGTGCTGAACCAGCAAACTATCGCCCGATAACACTACTTCCTGTGATCTCCAAGGTTATGGAGTCCATTGTAGCTGAGGATTTGATGGGGCACCTGGAGAACAACCAAATTCTCGTTCCGGAACAGCATGGATTTCGCCAAAATCACTCCTGTACAACTAATCTCTTGATTGGTCGTGCAAACTGGACGGAATCTGTGGACCCTGGTGTAGGTGTCGACGCGGCCTACTTGGATTTCTCAAAGGCATTCGATCGTATAGACCATCGCATTCTCCTCCACAAACTCAAAAAGTATAGAATCGGCGATCCTGTTCTAAGCTGGATAGGAGACTTTCTCGTTCAACGTCACCTGAATGTGAGGGTTCGAAGCAACCAATCAGAATCCATCGAAGTTCAGTGCGGCGTACCTCAAGGCTCGGTACTTGGATCCCGCCTGTTCCTGGTCTTCATAAATGATTTCGCGAGTGTGCTATCTTCTAACTGTCTGCTATTTGCTGATGACCTAAACGTATGGCGCACTATAGCTGCTGTGGAGGATCACATAATCTTACAGATCTGGACAAAGCGTACACATGGTCCATGGAGAACGCTGCATTTCAACGCCACCAAGTGCGATGTTCTCAGCACATGGCACCAGAGTATGCACAAGTACCGCCTAGGACCACAAATTCTACAGCGGGCTTCTCACGAGTGTGATCTCGGCGTGATAGTTCAAGATGACCTCGGTTGTTCGAAGCAGACTGAAAAGGCAGCTAAGAAAGCGAACCAGTACCTCGGCCTTCTTTGCAGAGCCTTCGGGAAGTTTGACCATACGATCTTTCCAAAAATGCTTAGTGCGTACGTGAGGCCGCACGCGGAATACGCTATCCAAGCGTGGCAACCCTGGCTCAAGCACCATCTCACCGCGCTCGATACTGCACAAAGTAGGGCAACGAAGAGCGTCAGAGGTTTGACCAGCATCCCCTACCCACTCAGGTTGTAGACCTGCAAAATGCAAAGTGGACGTTATCGGCGTCTAAGGGACAATCTCATAATGGTGTACCTAATCCTGAGAAACCCCAACCACCCATGCCATTCCCTTATAATACTCAGTCAAAACACCTCGCTAAGAGGTCACCAGTTTAAGTCAGTCACGCAGTACAGCTACCTGGAATGTCGGCGAAACTATTTCTCCCTTTGAGTGGCACAGCCTTGGAACGCCCTCCCGGAACATGTAATTAATGCACCCAGCCTATCCCTTTTCAAAAACCGCCTTGACGATACCCTGTCACATTTACACTACGTGCTATAGCCCATGACCACCAGATGCTGGCACTAATGCACAACAAACAGGGGATAGTGCCATAACCCTACTCGAGAATGATTCACTCCAAACCCCTTGCACGAACTTTGATAAACGCCACTACTATAGAAACTGGATTTCTGTATCCTGTCGACCCAAGATAGTTGCACACGAGTAAGCGTTGTCCTTGCTATCTTTTTTATTGTTCTCGCCTATGATGTGGACAATAACCACTCCCCTGTTGCTTTGTGTGCGTACATTCTCATTTCAAACTCCCTTTATACGACAGTGCAGTTACCTCTGTAAGCGCCCGAACTGACGACTCCATTATCCCTTCGCGCTCTTTTCTTGTCACGCTAAACACCTTACGGGACATGTCAATCACCTGCATTTTTACCCGTTATAAATCATCGTTCATTGTTCTCCTACCACGTGATCACGAAAACCACCTGACTCACCCATAGATAGAAACTTGCTGGCCACGTGTCATACGTTTGATACTGCCCTTGTGTAATCGTACTGAGACAGGCTGACACACATTTCCTGAGTTTCGCTTGGTCACGATCAGCTGTGTTAAGTTCACGGTCTGTGTGCAGAAACCTTACGCTACCTTAGGCTTTAGGCTACCATGAACGTGGGGGTGTCTAACCTCACCTCCACCCTTATATTTACTTTACTCTGCAGTCATACATAGATAAATGGGTACATTTTTTGAAGGGCTAGATACCATCCCTTTAGTGAAATGATCGTTTGTACAGCGAGTTTCATCCACATTTCATTCATGAACGTAGTGATGAGTAGAGTACTGTACATTGTCGAATATAAGCCGTTAATTTCCGGACAATTTTTCATACAAGTAGAGGAGGTCGATCTACAAAAGTTATACCTCATTTTTTAAAAAAACACGCAAAATCCATACAGGAGTTCACTGTGCATCTCTGCCCCTATCTCTCCTTAACACCACCCGCATGTGACGGGCAGTACCATGGATCATGCAACTTCGCGTTAGCGCTATTTTGAGTAGCGAATCAAAAGCACTTATACATTATGGTCATCGCAACTGCCCGATAGGAGAGTGACTTTCACTTGAACACAAGCAGGTTAGGCCAGGTTTTGATGACGTCAACATCGTTTCTCCTTTTACTGAATTTTGTGGGTCTACTAATATAGAGACTTTCACGTTTGGACAAATGTGATATAGCAAATTCATACTGTCGGCCCATCCATAGACATGATAATATTCGGTATTATACGGTATGTAGTAAGTAACAGATCACTCGAAGATTAGTTTTGTCCTGTTTGTTCGGGTCGGATTCCATGTGTGCATTGTTAGATTGCTGTAAGCCGAAGTGTTTGATAACGATTAGAGTTGAAAGCAGTTTCTAGAAGATGTCTAAATATAGACAGACTTTCGTTGCTCCTTATTTGCAAAGGAAGCTTATTCCACTGCTAGGCGTACCACACCAGAAAGATGTTTAAGCGTATATCTTGTTTGGTCGCCCGTACGGATAGTACTCACCTCTGATAGCGATTTACATGAGTTGTGCCATTTTGTAAACCGACAGCCGTACTGGTTCAGAAGATTCGCAGCTATACTATACAACAGGACGAATTTGCTGTTTAATCGTCGGAGTCAGATTGAGTCAATCTGGAGGTAGAACATCTTTCCTCATAGATTAGCGTTCGTTAGGGTCCCAGGACCATTTTGGCAAATCGAGCTGCCCCGACAATCTCGAGGCATTTAGCTGAGCACCAGTCAACGAGTCAATCCCGA